TTCTTCCAATTTCCCAAGAAATCAAAAAAAAGAATCTCACCTGGGTATCTGCATCTTCAAAATCTCCTTCTTGGTTTTCATCCTGTCCTTCCAACTCTACAGTGGTCTCGTCTTCATCGTCTTCAGTGGTTATCACCCGTTGAGGAGATTCAGTAACAGAATCTTCTGTGACATCCTCAAATTCAGCAAAGTCATTATCATCATACTCTACTATGTCTTCCTCATCCTCAAAGTCATCAAACTTAGCTTCAGAGATGCTCCCAAACACCAAAAGGACAACACAGAAGGCGTGGAAGGCTTTCATGGCACCTTAACAATGAGTTAAAACAAAACACATCCTAAGTGGACTGCCATTCTACACATACAAATCAAATTTAGAAACAATCAAAATATATCTATGACTCTTTCCTGCTTTTCTCTTATTTAATACTATTTATCAGAGAGCATTATAAAAAAAAACAAAGACAAAAAAATAACAACAATGAGGTGAGAGTAAAGAGGCCTGGGTTCTAGTCTGGACTCTGTCACTAGTTATCCGTAAAATCTTGGACAAATCATTTAATTTTGTTTAGTTTGGTTTCCATTTACACTGTGTAATTGGTAAGCATTTTTTTGATAGCCTATGAAAAGCTTTATACAGAAATGGGAAGGGGTATAATAAAATAAGAATGAGATGCAACTACTTATCTGTTAGTGGTAACAAAAATAATATAGGAATAGAAAAGCCATTCATGCTTAGATCAACTTTGTGTGTTCATGTGTGAACATCATCATGATAAAAGCAAATGTGTAAGACACAAAGTCCTAGGCACTGACCTAAAGGCTTTACAGAAAGCAAATAATTTAATCCTCATAACTACCCTTTGAGGAAAGTAGCATTAACATCCCCATTTCACAGATAAGGAAATGAGGCACAGAGATGTTAAGTAATACAACTACCAAGTAACGCAGAGTAATGATTTGATTCGTTTTGCCTCCAGAATCCCTGCGAACCACTTATCAGGCCACTTCTCAAATGTAAGCCAGTGGCTGTGATTTTATATTACTTAAAGTAGTAAATTTAAAAAATATATATTTTATTGGGGAATTGGGGAAGCAGAACAGCCAAGTTGTTGTCCTTCAATCTTAGTTGTGGAGGGCGCAGCTAGCTCAGCTCCAAGTCTAGTCACCATCCAGCCGCCCATCAGCAGCTCACGGCTGCTCAGCTCAAGGTGCAACGTGTTCAATCTTAGTTGCAGGTGGGCATAGCCCACCATACCATGCGGGAATCGAACTGGCAGCCTTGTTGTTAACAGCACACTCCCTAACCACTGAGCCATCCTGCCGCCTGTTGGCAGCTCAGCGGCAGCTCAGCTCGGGTACAGCTCACTGGCCCATGTGAGAATCGAACCGACGACCCTGTTGCTCAGAGCTCGTGCTCTTAACCAACTGAGCCACTCGGCTGGCCCCAAATAAACAGTTCTTTAAAAAATAAAATAACAGCATGGTTCCTGCATTCAAGAGAAACTGCAAACTGAGGAATAGCTATAGCACAGAGGCCTGAAGTAATGTATTTTAGGAGTTTGGTATGATGGAGCATTGGGTTTGCAGATCAAAGTGGGAGTAATCAGACTGTTAGAAAGGCCTGCAAGGCCAGATCATAATGATCCTTATTTACAGACAACACTAAGTCTGGATAATTCAAATCAACTAAAGGGTTTAAATAGGAGAGCAACATTAGATTTGCAATTTAACCTACACAAGGTGAATTGGATAAAGGCACCTGAGGCAGGAAAAATAAGTGGTTGGAATAATTAGATAAGCTATAAAACAGGATTGAATTAGCAGTGGTACTGAGAATGAACAGGAAAACAGATCTGATATTTAAGAATTATACTTGTCAGCATAAAGTGATTGAAATATAGAGAATGTGGGAAAGGACAATGGAGTGATTCTAAGTTTTGGCTTGATTAATAGCTGGACAAAGTCATCCTTGAGATAAAGAACAATAAAGGAGAAAAAAATTGGGGGGAAAGACAATAAATTAAATTTAGTACCTGTTGAAAAGTTCAGTCTTTTTAAGCAGTATGTTAGATGATTAACATCTATCTCTCTATTTCACGATATCCCTAAAAGGTATCATAACCTATTTTACAGAGGGAGGAAAGGAAGTAGTTAGAAATATAAGTCTGGGAAAAAAAAAAAAGAAATATAAGTCTGGAGTTCAGGATACAAGCCAAAGCTGGAAATAGAGATGGTGTGGGAACAGATGAGCTCCCCAGGGAGTATTAAGAGTTAGTGTAAAAAAAAAAAAGAAGAGCATCAAAAAGTCTTGAGACAAATCGTAACAGCTAAGAGGTCGGCATAATCGGAAGAACTGGAGTGGGAAACTAAAAAGGAATGGTTAGAGAAAAAGAAGAGACTCTGGTCAAAGTGTCGTCATAGAAGGCAAAGGAGAAGCATATTTCTAAGGAGAAGCATATTTCTAAGAAGGAAACAGAACTCAGTTTCAATGGCTGCAGCAAGTTCAAGTAAGATATGGACCAAATTTTCCAAATGTTAATAAGGAAATCGTTTTGGGCAACTGCAGGAAAGTGGTAAGGATGGAAGCCAGAATGCAGGGAGTTGAGAACTAATGGAGGTGAATAATTTCAAGGTGCTCTGGGATAGTGAATAGTCTATATCTCATATTTACAACACCATAAATTCTTAAAGGAATTGGTGCAATAACAAAGGTTGTTGCCCAATACCTTGCAACCCATGGCTGCTTAAGAAATATTTTTTGAACTGGACAAAGTTCATAAATTTTGAAAGGCACACGTGACTTGAGAAATGCCATAAAGGATAAGAACAATAGCATATCCTTTCCAATGTCTGATCTTGGAAGTTAGCAACAGGGAACATTTTATGGGCAAACATAGCTGACTTCTCAACACCAACCTCAGGTAGGTTTGTGATGTGCCTCCAAACATCCCTAGCTTCCCCAGTAATCTTTCATTATAGTTGAAAGTGGAAGAAATATGAAAAAGAGCATGCACTTTGGCGGAGTTAGATTTGGTTTAAAATGTCAGCTCTACCACTTGCCAGCCATATATGATCTTGGGCTAATTACTTAAAATTCCCCGTTTTCCACTTATGAAAAAGGGATACCCATTCAGCATTTGTCTCATAGGACTGTAGTGGGTAGTCCAGGAGATATGTGCCTCGCACATGAAGGCCCTCAATAAGTATTAGTTCCCATCATTACTTCCTTCTGTGTCTTATGAACATCCTTTAAGATTTAAAAACTTCATTTTTAGTGTTTCCCTTTTCAGATCTGTTTTAAAACTTTTTCAAATAGAAGCAAATAAAGGGTAACATTGGCACAATTTGCTTACCTACCTACCAAAAGGTCTAATCATTTCAAACTGAATTTCCACTTTAAGTGTTCATACCGCAGAAGCATTTCTAAGATAACTCAGCACTGTAACAGGGCTCCTTCAAGGTTATTTATGTTAAAATTATCCAAGCCATTTGTGCCTTGGCCTTCCCACTCTGAAGTCTCTCTGCTGCACCTGTCAAGTTATTTCTCAAATGTACAACTCCTTGTCAGGCCACCCGGTCCTGAATGAGACTCTTGGGGCAGGAAACACAAGCACTAACAAGTCTGGTTTGATGATCTTCTGCTGGCTTACTTGGCAGTCTCTCACAGACTGGGTCTGGACTTAAAAATCAAAGAAGAGTAAGTGGGGGAATCATTTCTTGTTGCCATTTAGTTAGGCCTTTCTAACAATGGCCAGATTACGAGACTTCTGGAAGTCATATAGACATTCCCATCTCCTTACACGTTAGATAAAAACGTTTTATGTAAGAAACCTTCAGAAAAGACTGGGCAGAGTTTATTGTTTTTGTTAAACCAGCCGGGTCTAGTCCTTTAGTCCTGCCCCACCATGGAGAAACAACTCATCGTAACATCTGTACTCCACTCTTCCTGCTGCACGCTGTCAGCTTCCTCTAACTTTGCACTTCTGGTTGGCATTTGCTCACGGCTCGGGGGTGGGTGTTCCCCAAAACGGTTAAAATCAACCCAATCCTGAAGACCAACAGGAAATGAGCCTTGAATTGGACAAAAGTTTGCTTGTTTTAAGAAAGTCGGGAGAAGTGAGAAGGCGAGGGGACTGATGTAAGTCACACAGGCCGGACTTAGGGAATCGGGTGGGAAACGGGACCGGGTTAGGCTACTCAGAATGACCACTCGGCCTGGCCCGGCCCCATCCGACTAACACGTCATGTCCCGTTTCCTACCTGTACCGGGGGGCTAGAACTCGGCCCAACGCTTCTGAGGCCGCCACCTCTACCCCGCCTGCCTCTCGGCCTGGCCGCTGCTTGCGCGGTCACCGCGATTTTAGTGCCCCGATGCCTCTAAGGACACAGCTGTACCAGGTAGCTCAGTCACGTCGCGCCACTCTTCACGTAGCCTCCACCGTCCAATACGTAGACTGCGTGCTGCCTGTCCGCGCCTGCGCTAGGCGAGGGAGCGGGATGCAGTCTCTGGGACCGCGCGAGACCTTCCTCACTCCCGCCGCGGTGAGGCGAGGCGGAGCTGCTGGGAAAATTACATAATCCCAGCCCCTGGGCCGGAACTCCCCACACCGATCCCAACCCTCTCCGTTAGGATTCAGTGAAGTTGTCATCACATTGAACTGGTGCTCCGGAAGCTAAAGGTGGCCATGCTCTATGGGACCACGTGGCCAGAGGCACGAGGAGACATGTTGTCCAGGTCCTATTTGCAAAGGACCTGAGTTTAAGGGATCGACAATTTCATGTATATGGTTCTTTCACCCAAGGCGTTTTCTTGGAATTTTTGGGCGGCTCCCTGTCACTGCTACTCTTCCTTCACTCTCGTGCCCATTTCCTAGACGGGCGGTGAACACTTCCCACCCATCAGCAGTGCCCAATCTATCTGAGAGATCTGAGAGATATTCTGTAGCTTTAAGGCCGGGAGCCCAAGGCGTTTTCCGGGAACGTAACCTGAGGCTCCGCCCTTCGGGCCGCGCTCTCTGCACTGCGCATGTCAGGTTTGTGTTCCCCTCCCCCCGCCAGCAACGGGTCGAGAGGCGGCGGCGGCTGCAGCGGCGGAGGTGCAAGGGGCGGAGACGGAGGAGCGCGGCGGGACGCGGCCTGGACCGCGCGTACTTCGGGCCGTAGGATTCTCTCCGCGTCTAAGGTGGTAGCAGCTGCCTCTACAGCAGCAGGTTTGTGCGAGGTGGGTCTGGACTTGGGGCCGCTACACCTTGGGGGCACTGGAGGCAACTGCGGGGCCTAGCGAGGGCCAGGGAACCGCGGCCTCGTTTAACAAAGAGTCGGCGGAGCCTCTGGGCACCGGAGGCCCAGGGAGCCGGGGAGGGGTGGGAATGCGCGGTTGAGGCCTCGGGGGGTCCCTCTGAGCCGCGTCGCCCTCCCACGGCTCCCGCTGCTCCCACAACTCTTACGGAGGCCCAGTTGGCTGCTTTTCCGGAGGCGGCGCCCGCTCGCTCGCCTGACTACGGAAGGGATTTGCAAGGTGCCGGTCTCCAGGTCAGGGATAGCCACGGGGAAGATTCTCACCCTAGTCGGCAACAGCTGGCAGATGCAAGCCTCAAAGTCAGGGGGCGGGGAGGACCCTATAGACAAAAGTTGCCAATTCGAAAGACCGTAACAGACATAGTCGGTGATCTTTGTGCAGCTTACAGTATAGATCAGTGATTAGCATCACCATTGCACACTAACTCTTTTTGCGGCCTACTTAACAGGCTGTCTGATGTGAGTAAATAATTTCTAGAGAGTTGCGAGCATACGTACCAATAATATAAGGAGAAACTATAGTACTTGTTCGAGAGTTTTTTGGGGGAAATCATAGTTTACTTAACATCTTAGTGAACCATTTCCCCCTTTGCCCCTCACTGCTTTAGGCAGTCGTTCAATTTTCTCTGGCTTCCCTGTATGTTATTGTTTGTCATGATGTTTATTCTCCTCGGTATATACACCCTGGGACTCCTAAAGGGCAGACATTATGTCTTAATTCACTGTAACTTTGCAGAGCCAAGCCCAGTTCTGGCACATAGGAGGAGAACAATAAGTGTTTCCTATAAAAATTAACTTCTAGACTCTAATGCGGTGGAAAAAAAAATGTGTGCTTTGTTTTCCTGTACCTAAAAGGGGCATTCATTATCTGGCCTAATCTGCAATTCATTGATTCATTCAAGGGATATTCTTATTTGATGCCTACTGTGTGCCTATTCCCTAGCACTGTTTTATTTTAGGTCTCTGACCCATGCTCTCATGAAACTTACTTTCTAGTGGGGGGAAGAGAAACAGGAAACAAATATATGAATTATACTGTATGTGAGAAGATTATTAGTGCCATAGGAAAAAAAAAATCTGGCAAGAGGGATGGTGAGTTGTTGCATTTTGAAGTAGGGTGGTCAGGGAAGTGCTTATAGACAAGCTAATACTCAGGCAGACTAAAAGCAGGTTGAGGGAGTGAGCTGAGCCAGTGTGGGGAAAGGAAGGTTCTAGGCAGAGGGAACAGCAAGTGTAAAGGCCTGGAAGAGGATAATGCTGGCTTGTTAGAGGAACAATTAGAAGACCAAGTGCTTGGAGCACTGTGAGCAAAGGTGGGAGTAGTAGGAGGTCAGGGAAGAAAAAGGGTGGGGGTTGGGCAGAACAACCACAACCTTTTAGGCTATTGTGAGGATTTCACTTATGCTCTGCCTGAAATGGGAACGATCTGAGGGTTTTGAGCAAAGGAGTGATAAGATCTGAGTTACATTGTAATAAGTATAATTCATGGAGTGCAATTGTTTATATTTTAGTTTTTATCAAACTGATAGTCATATAATCAGTTCTTAGTTTCTTTAAGCTAACAGAGAGGAGAGAGATGCTCTTAAAGTAAGTATAACCAGCATTTGTTTACGTATTTGGCTTTAGAAGAATGTAATGAAATTCTTGGGTTTTATACAGATTCTCGTTAAAGAACGGACTGGTTTCTCAAAACAGATTATTAGAGTAGATGCTAATTAAATGTCACTAGAACTCTGTCTCCTACTCCATAAACACAAGTGATAAACTAATGTGGTTTTGTAATGAGTTGTTTTTAGTCCACTATTTTTAAAGTCATTTACATCATATCTTATTTTCTACCATTGTCCAAAACATAAACTAGCCAATTTATTTTCCTTAGGTTCCACACTTATTCTAACTTCCTAGCCATTGCTATTTCTAGCTTTTCTCCCTAGAATTTCTTCTTCCTTCACACTTCTCTACTCAGCTTGCATCTTTCTGTGCCTCGTCTGGATTCTAGCTCTGATGAAGCCTATCCCCACTTGTCAGCTTATAGTGATCTCTGACATCTTCAGTGTCATGTCACACTTACATATGGAATCCCTAAGTTGAAAGAGATCTGAGAAGTGTAACTTGATATTCTCCGTTTATCAATGGAGAAATTGATTTCTGGAGAAAGAATAACGATAAACATGACAGCTAATACATATCGCATTCTTACTATGTGCCACGCTTCGTTGTAAATGTATTTTTGTGTATAAACTAAATTTTTCATACCAACTGTGAAGTAGGTGATATTCTTACCTACTTACAGATGAGGAAACTGAAGCCCAGAGAAGCTGAGTAACTAACTTCCTTGAGCTTCCTTGAGATTCACAAGTTAGTGTCAAAGCTGGAGTTTGAACATAGCCTGGCTTCATCTCTTCGTTACTTTACTATGCTATTAAGATTTTCTACCAACTCACAGTATTTTAGTGCTAGAACCATACCAAGTATGATTTTATGCTATCTTTCATTTTTCTCCTTGGCCAAGTTGTAAATCCTCTTGGGGGATATATATTGACTAAACATGATTAGTCATTTTTATTCTACATATTGACTAAACATGATTAATGAATATATACTCTGGAATACAAAAGAGATAACAAATGGATAAGCCTGCTTCTTTACCCCTGAAACCTGTAACACAGAGTTGGAGAGATAAAACAAGAACACAAATAGTTATGATTAAATGTTGGGGGTTTTATTGACTAGAAAGGGGGTGTGAGGAAAGAGATAGCATTTCTCTGAGGGAATCATGTTCATGCCATAGTTCTGGGAGTTGGTATTTATATGGCTTCGAAGGATAGGACTTTGGTAGGTAGGTACAGTGAGAGATTTGGTGGGGAGGTAGAGGGAAGAGCATTCACCCAAGTGCTCGGTTTTCTTGGGTTTTGTACAGATTCTCGGCAGAGGGAACAGCAAGTGTAAAGGTCTGGAAGTGTAAAGGCCTGCGTATGTGGCAAAACCCTGGGAGATAAGGATGTTAAAGTAGTGTCTTGCCATAAAGGAGCGTCTCATTCCAGAATGATTGAGTAACTGTGGAGTAGTATTTAATTGAAGGGAATGACAGAATCAGAAATGTGCACCAGGAAGGTTTGGGGCCAGGATCTGGAAGAACCTAGGAGGTTTCTGCTGAGCATCTGAATGCTTACCTCCTTTGGGTCTGACTTTCCCTAGTTCCACAGTACATATTAACAACATATTGCTTCATAGTAAATCTCCTCTCAGTAGAATTATGTGAATTTCCCTTAAGATCAGATTCCTGAAGAAAGCAGGAGATGGTCTTAATTACGTTCATGCAAACTAGTACTTATCAAGTACTTACTTTAGCCGTGTGTTAACTTTTATGAAATGTCCAAAATGAATAAAGACAGTCTCTATCTGGAGCTAAAGGTGCCCTAAGGGTGAAGACTGACGTTGCATAAAACACGTTTAATGCTAAGCAGACTGAACTAAGTGCTATATAATAGCAGTTCAAACAAAACCTATAAGGTGTGTGTGTGTGTGTGTGTGTGTGTGTGTGTGAGAGAGAGAGAGAGAGAGAGACAGGCACAGAACCAGAAAGTAGAGCATATTGTTCTTGGTCCCCTTAACAATGTCATCATGAAAAGCCGTTTTTGGAACTCTTTTCCACATTGGCTTCAGGGTCCGTTACAAAGCATTTTAATTTTTATTATTAATGGTAATCGTTAATACAAAGAAGAAAGTAAAAACCAAATAATTGCTATTAACATTTTGATTAACAGCCCTCCAGCTATATCTGTATATGTAACACATGCTTTTACATTGAGTTACATTGAATCATACCATCCACCTTGTTTTTTGCCCTTTTTATTTGACTCAATGTGTAATGGACACTTTTCCATAAATAAATGTAAGTAGCAGTGAAAACTTTTAAAACTTAGGATGCATATTCCCTTTGGCTAAGCAACTGCATTTTAAAAACGGATCCTAAGGAGATAATTAAGGGTATGCACAAAGAAATAGCTGTATGATATGGTATGTTTCATGTTATAAAACAGTAGTGGAGAAAAAGTATTGATATTTAAAGATGTTCATAGTATATCATTAGGTGAAGAAATTGGTAATTAAAACTATGTGCAGTATGGCATCAGTTTTGTTTTTATTTTGTGTGTGTTTATAAACATAAGCATAAAAATATAGCAGAAGATATTAACAATTACGTGTGTGGAAGAGGAAATTTCAAGTAGTTTTATTATAAATTGTTCCTTTTTGCTTTCTGAATTTTCTGCTTTTTTATAAAACTTAAGTAACTTGTATCATTAAAAAAGTTTTTTTGGAGCCAAGACTAATAAGATACTGTAAGGTATTGTCTTTAAACTGATTTGATCAATGCCTAGGATATTTCTTTGTAGGCCCTAACTATAAGCTAACCGACTACCTAAGGCAACATATCAGTGAATCATGGTTTCCTCCTGGATAGTGTTCTAGTGGGCACTTGCTCAATAAGTGCCTGGCTCATAACTATTCAGAGACAGTTACATAAATAATTTTTACAAATAGCCGATCTCTTAAGTTTTGATTCTTTGACTCTGCCAGATGTCATTACCAGAGGATAAACTTTAATTTTAAGACAGCCTTGTGGATAGCATCTCAATCTCTGTTATTGCAAGCATTACATTATATTGTAGTTGTGGATTGTTTTTGTCTTTTGTCTTTTTTCGGGGAGTCGGGGGAAGTTGTCTGTTTTCCTGGTAGACTGTAAACTCCTTGAAGATAAAAATAAGGAGAGTAAATCTTTTCATCTTGGTATCTTCAGTTGCCTAACACAAGCCTAGCACATATCAGATCTTTTAAAATATTTGTTGTCTTATGAGTATTTTTGACAGCTTAAAAGATATTAAATCCTTTTAAAGGAGAAGATATTTAATGCTACATTCCTGTTTAAATTGAGATCCCAATAAAATAAATAACAATTTCTTCAGTGTTTTAGAAAATGGGACCATTTTGTTACGGTTAGCATATTGCATATCTAAGTACAAAGTAAAAGTTGTAATTGAGGGAGAAAAGTTTAAAATGAAATTGTAGGTAGAGGTTGGAAGAGACATAAAAATCAATGGGCTATTTAATTTATACAGTTAAATTTATATTAGTGTGTCTTGTTCCCAGTTAAATTTATTAGTGTGTCTTGTTCCCAACAGATCATTCACTGACACCATGAACTGGAATAAAGGTGGCCCTGGCACCAAGAGGGGATTTGGCTTTGGAGGTTTTGCCATTAGTGCTGGAAAGAAGGAGGAACCCAAACTCCCACAACAGTCTCACAGTGCCTTCGGGGCAACCAGCTCTTCTTCTGGATTTGGAAAGTCGGGTCCACCACAGCTCCCTTCTTTCTACAAAATTGGATCTAAACGGGCCAATTTTGATGAAGAAAATGCGTAAGTGGTGGTAATTCCTGGTAATTTAGCAAAGGTTGGGCTTTGAGATATTTATTCTATCAACAGAAATTGAGGCAAAGAAATCCTTAGTTTCCTGAATAATAATATGACGTCTTAAATTGGTTATCACACTGAATTGCATTGTTACTAATAAGTTAAATTGAGTTTATTCATTTGTAAGGAATATAATACTCGTGTGCTTACTTACACCTTGTTCCAAAAATGATTTTAGGCCATTGAGACCTAAATATGGCAGAAGAGTTTTAAGTAACTCGTGGTTTTTGATGGTCTTTACTGAAGTCTTTTATTGACACCATGTAAGTTGTTTTGTAAACACAGGCAGCAGTTGTCAGAACTGGTAGAGACACAGTTTGCCTCAACACCAATTCCTTAATAAAACTATTATGTTATAACATCTTATAGTGGTAGAAAAATCTCAGATTTTTGCCCATAGTTCTGAGGAAACATTTTTACCAATTATTTTTTTTAACTTGATTATCTAATAAGGTAGTTATTATGAAAAGCCGGGGTTTGACATTTTGAGTTCTGATTCCTGTAGATTATAATTTGTCTCCACTAAATTTGAAGAAATCTCTTATTGTTATTAATTCCAACCTCGTTGTGACACTGCTTGAAATTTATTTTTTAATTAAAAAAAATTAGCAAGATTGGTGTTCATAAAGCATACAGCAGCATTTTAAAAAGCTGACATGTTATTCAGGAATTCAGGACAGAAGTAGGTGTTAAAGGTTCCGCAAAGTCAAGGATCATTATTTTAGGGAGCAGTTGATTAGTTCAGGGATATTTAAGTCTGGTAAATGATGTTGGATTGAGCATTTATTTTCAATTCTATAAGTTTTCTGCTGGTCCTCAGAAAATAGCCCAGAACTTCTGATGGAAGTCCCTAGTCTTATGAGTATATCACTGAAAATTTTTAAAGGATTATAAAGAATAAATAGGATTTTAATATTTCATAAGAAAGTAGCACACTTTAATATTTGCTATATCCATTCAACAATGATATACTAAATTTGTACTGAAAACACATCCCTTTTTATAGAACTAGAAATATAATTTAACAGATACTAATTGAAATGGAGAATCTGCTATGACTGTTTTTTGGGCATTATTAGAAGTTGTATATATATTAAGTAACACTTAATAATTAGGTCCTTAGCTGAAGCCTGGAGGTCTGTAATTTGACCTGTGTAGTTTAAATCTCTTAGTAACATGTATCATAATAATTAAACATTTTTGTTACATGAAAGATACACTGACCTGGAACTAAACATGCATCTTTTCAGATATTTTGAAGATGAAGAAGAAGACTCTAGCAATGTTGACTTACCTTATATTCCTGCTGAAAACTCACCTACCCGCCAGCAATTTCATTCCAAGACAGCAGATTCTGATAGTGACGACGATCCCCTGGAGGCCTTTATGGCTGAAGTCGAGGCAAGTATCACATTGAGTATAGGGCATTTAAACTGTTTAAATGCATGTTCCTGGGGTTTAAACCATTGAAATCAGCTTTTATACTGTGTTTCTTTAAAAATTTATAACAAATTTGCTAACTATTTTTGTGAACTGAAATTTTCAGGAAATACTCACCAAAGACCCTAGTAGTGCTTGAGGGTGTGTGTGATACCTCTGGAAACATTCCCCCTTAACGTATAGACACAAATCTGCTTCTCCGGTCCACAATGTGTTGTCATCTCTGCTGTGTTAAATTTTTCAGCGATTAGAAATAGACCAGATTAACCAGTGCCTCAGAATTTGTGTTCTGGCCCTTTTTGGGGAGAATTTTACTCTCATTCTCTAGTTTCTTAAATAGACTTCCACTTGCCCTGTAACATTTTCAGAGATGATCAGTGCCTAGAAATTTGAACCAAAACCCTTGAACATAGTAACTCAAGACTTGTGTGTGTGTTTTGTTTTAATAATTCTTGGTATATTCTTAAATGGAATGAACATTTCATTCAATCTAGCATTTAGTAAATGCATATTTTTGTAAGGCAATTAAACTTAAGGCACTTGCTAAATTACAAACTCTGCATTCTATACTTTTAATGTTTAGTATTTCTTATTACCAACATTGGCATCAACATTCATGACTTCCCTGTAGAAATTACAACTTGTGACCACTTCTGTAAAACGCTTCTCACTAGGCTTTTGTGATTTTGTGTTTTGTCTTTTTCCCCCATATCTTTGACTTGTCTATTCATTTATTATCTACTTCTTGTTAAGAAAAATTTTAATCACATACAAAAGTAGAATAATAAAACGAGCCCCCATGTGCCCTTCACCCTACTTTACCAGTTGACAACTTTTGGCCAATCTTGTGTTATCTAACCCCTCCTGTCCCTTTTTTAGATTATTTTAAGGTAAATCTCAGACATGCCATTTCATCAGTTAGTATTTATGTATCTCTGAATAACTCTTAAAAACATAACTTCCATATTATTGTGCCCAAAAAAATCATTACATATCCATTTCACTGTTACCTGTTATTCTTGTGATCCTCTTTCAGTTTCTCAAATATAATCCTACAGTTCTCTGTTTTGATTTGCTATCTTCACTCTACATTCCTTAATGACCTCATCCACTTCTACAACTTCCATGTTAAGTAATGTTAAGCCAGTAATTCATGTTGTTGGTCTCATAGTTTCTTTGGTTTTAGCTCTGCTTTTCTAGAAGCATATTGACCATTTTTACATGGGTGTGACTCTCTGGCAACTTAAACCTAATTCATTTTCTTTTCCTCCTCAACCAGGTCTTTTATTTATTTTTTTTTTGGTCTTATTTCTCTTAATGGCACCAATATTCACACAATAACCTTGGTTTTCACTTGCCCCCCTTACTTTCTTTTTAGCAGATGATCAAGCATGTTCATGACTTAGTTCATTTAATCTTCAGAATAACAATAGGGAATAGGCAGAAAGAAAATACATAAATGTAATTATTTAATAAGAAAACTGAACTCTAAGATAATTCAAGTCCCTTGCCCCACATCACAGTGATACTGTGTAGCAGAACTGGGACTGACTTGCTTTGTCGTGCTGATAGCCGAGCTCTTTCCAATACATCATGCTGCCTTTCCTCTCTTCATTTGCCAAGGTCTGTCAGTCTTTACAATATCTCTTGCATCTGTTCCTTCCTTTCGGTTTCCACTAAGTTCATGCTAGTTTATACCCTCATTAACTCTTGCTTGGTCAAAATTCTCTCTCTGCGTAAGGCTCTGCTCTCTGATTTATGTGGTATATAGCGACAGAGTAATTAGACTAAAGCAGGTTTCTTATTGTGTTATTCCTCTTGTTCAAAAACTGTCACTTCGTTGCTTATGAAATAAAATCCTTCCAGATTCCTCATTTACTTGCTATCTGAAGTCTTTAGCCAGAATTCATCTCTCTAAGGAAGGAGGGAAAGCAAGAATCTAATATGGATTTGATTTTGTTTGGCCTAGACATTGCTTTTTAAAAATGTGAGTCAACTATTTTAAGATCAGGAGATTTTACCTAAAAGTTTAGACTCTTGAAAACTGGAAAATCTGGCATTACTGAGCCTGCATTCTTGCATGGCAGAAACAGGCTGTTGCTGAGCAAATGGCTGCTGGCTTCAGAGGAGGCATGCTTTTTCTAGTTCACTGTAGTTCCCTTAATCCCTGTTGTCGTCTCGACATTGAGGCCACCCTTTAGAGCCACTTATCATCACACTTACATTGTGATTTTCTTACAGTGGAGAAATGTTTTTCTGAGCTTGGGCTTCTTATCAAATATTAGAAAATGAAAGACTCAAGGCCATGTGATAGAAGAAAAATTAGAGCACGCTTTTCTTTAGGAGAATATTCCTACTTTACTAAAGTGCAGGCAAAGAATGTCTGTGTCCAAAGAAGACAACTTTTCTTATCCTGGCTCACTTCATTCATTGTCAGATTGGCACCCACTAGGCATTTGAGTTTCCCACCTTTGATTTAGAACAGCTCATTACTTGCCAAAGAGTATGCACGTAATAAGTAACAGAGCCAGGATTCAATTCGAAAGCCCATATTTTTTTCTGGGGTATCATTCTGCTTTTTTTTTTTTTTTTTAGCTGAGCCATCCTGCCACCTTTTGGCAGCTCAGCGGCAGCTCAGCTTGGGCCGGGAATCGAACCGGCGATCCTCTTGCTCAGAGCTCACACTCTTGAGCAAGCTCTTAACCAACTGAGCCACTCACCCCGCCCACTGGGGTATCATTCTGTATCTGAGTTCTTGTAGTACTGCATTTCTGCTATGACACTTATTAAAAATATTGAAAATATACATGTACTTTGCACCATGGTAGCAGTTTAGTAAATACGTTAAATGATTCTCTCTAGGAGTAAAGGCAGTAAATGGTTTGTCATGTTTGAGATGTCTTATACATATCTTTTTTCATCTTCTTGAGATATGGACATTTCCCAAAGGGCTATATTTCTCATTTCTTGAGCTCTCCTTACTGATGAATTAGAAGAAAAATCAGCTCTTTCTTTTCTAGGTTTAAATTTAGATTTAATTTTTGGTAGTGCAAGCTGCCATAGCCTCTTGGAGTGGGAGTATCCAAGAATGGCCCAGATTCTCTTGCTTGGCATTTCAAATACTTGAAGCAGTATGAGGTTAAATCTCTTTAATATAGTATCATTCTTCTGGGGGTACTTTTTGGGATAGTATTCAAAGGGTTTTGCTGATTTTTAGGGCAGAGAGTGGAGATTGTCTATCTTGGCAAGAGTGTGGTTGCCAAAGTATTACATTAATCCCTGATATCTGGTGTAAACTTTTCTAGAAAGTTTAAGCTTTTGGACTTTAGATGAAGTTTTATTTTTAGCCAGTGTTTTTAAAAAAAGGTTTATGTAGGCTTAAAAAATATGTTCTATAAGTGTTTACAACCCATTTCTTAATGTTACATTGCTTATGTCATCTTTACTTTAGTTATAGCCTTAAATATATCTTATCTGTCTCAATCCCTTAAAAAGTAGATTGTGTATAATATTTCTTTTTAAAGTAATTCCTCTTTATCAGAAACGTGATTAGATAGAACGCCTGACCATGCCAGGTTTAGTATAGTGGCATTTTTAAAAAATAAAAATCAGAAAAATTTATGTTGCTTTATAACCAGGAACAGTTGTGCAGAATGTATTTAACCTTGGTGAAAATTACTTAATTCTGCTGACCTTGATTTTCACCATGTATAAAACAAAGAATTTATTTAGTGTTTATCAATTTGCAGTATATAACAATTACCTATAGAAAATGGAAAAACTACATGCATTAAAATCTACATTCAGTCCCAAGGATTCTGATTTAGTAGGTTTTAAAGCAGGGTTTTCAACCTCAGGACTATTGACATTTGGGGCTTGACAATCCTTTGTCATGGGGGCTGTCCTGTGCATTGTAGGATGTTTAACAGCATCTGTGGCCTTTACCTACTAGATACTAGTAACAACCCCCACCCCCCCCTTCAAGTTGTGATAGTCAAAAATGTCCCCAGACATCGCCAAATGTTCACTAGGGACAAAATCGCCCAACTGAGAACCACCTTTCCAGAATCAGATCCAGAAATCAGAATTTTTTACTAGCTCCATTGGTAATCTGATACAAATGATCTTAAGCTACACCTTGACAAAGCCTGATTTGCCTGAATTTAAGGCCCTTTTCAGTCATAATTATGTCATTAATGTTAAAAAAAAATGACCAGTCACGCATTTTCGCCGATTTTTCTTTACATGTTATATATTGCAGATAAAAACCATGCAATCCATGTGTAGCCAAGTTTTTAGAACATTTGTATATTTCTCTTTGAGAAATAATTATTGAAGTACAATTTGGATGCATCAAAATGCAATTGTCAGGGGCTGGCCGAGTGGCGTGATGGTTAAGAACTGGCTTGGGATGCCAGAGGGCCCCGGTTCGGATCCCACATATGAGGGCCAGTGACACTGCCTCACCCAGAAAGAGTGCAATGATAATACCAACATGGGCCAGTGAAGCAACGTCCTCCACAACTAGACTGAAGAACAAAAACGACAGCAACGTGTCTGTTCCCCTCCCCCTAATTCCCCAGCACTGTTCCCATCCCCCCAATTCTCCAATAAAAAAATCTTAAAAAAAAAAAAATGACTGGTCTTAGGTGGTCTGCCCCTAAAAAAAAAAAAAAATGCAATTGTCAAACTGTATAGCTAAAACTATGATGGTACTTGTTCAGATCTCAAAATTCTTTATAAAGAAACTTTTTTTTCAATGTTTTTAGTTGATATGATTCCATACATACTTTTGTTTCATTAGGACCAGGCGGCTAGAGACATGAAGAGGCTTGAAGACAAGGATAAGGAAAGAAAAAACGTAAAGTAAGTTGTTTTCTTCTCCCTCACAAAGGTTATATGAAAATAAAGTATTACATAGCCTATTCCCCCAAAGTTTGTAGAGGAAAATTAAAATACACAAATGACTTGACTTGAAGTTATCCCTGTCTCTTCAATAATATTTCTGTAGGTAATTATGATGACTAAAGTCTTTAAATTTGCAGTAATTAAAACATTTTTTTTTGATAGAATAGCATTTGATGTTCTACTATAGATAGAACGAGTTAAGAACGAGTGGGAGTTAAGAGAACATAATTATTAGAGTTTGGGTTCATTATTCTGATTTTTGTCCCATAATTAATATAAAATAGGTTAATGTCTATACGATTGATTATGAGAAGTAATGGTGATTATATCATTAAAAAAACTATATTATTAATAAACAATAAAACCTAATTTATTTAAGGAGTGACATCATGCTTTAACAATGAGGCAGAACGTGAAATACTTTATTTTCTGGGAAAGAGAGCTCTCTGTCCCTTACTGAATACACTCCTCTTAAGGCTTTTGCTACCAGGTACAAGTAGGCCTAGTTGGATTTTCCCCTCTGCTTGGCAGTCAGTACTTCAGGCCCTCCCCAAAGTTCCTGTGCCAGGTGGAGGTTCAGCCCCTCTCTTTGGTGCTTACTGTGTTTTGCATCCTCTTTCAGTTGCTCTGCACTGATGGTATAACTTGCCTTACAAATAGCAAGTGCTGTAGATTAGGCAGAAAGTCTGATTAGAAAGAGATGGTTGTGGGAACTAAGCAACCATACTTTCTATAGCATCTAAGAGATGCAGCAAGTGGCAGTGGTCCCCTTCTCTATGTGAACTGCTTAGGAATTTTTGTCCCAAACTTACAAAGAGTTGATATAGTTTTTCTCTCTGTCCCCAAGGATTTTAGCTGAATGCACTTACTCCAGAGCTAAAAACTCTGGGTGATGTTAAGAAAGTTGTGACTTTCTTTTTAGTGTATATCAAAAGCAGGATTTTTTAAAAATATGAAATACTTTTCACAACTGTGTTGCTTGTTGTATGGGGTTGACAAGGCTAGGATCCTTGGGTATTTATCTTCAAAAGTTTTTACTCCTTATACCCATGTTAGTAATTGATATTTCTAGGGGTACCATATCATCCCATTCAAAAGACATGCAAGCTGCAATGTGTAGAGTGAAACCACACAAATATGATGGATGGATAGTTTACAGTGTGCTTATTGCTGCTTTGTTGTTATTAGTGTTGAGAGTTCCTGAGCTATATGGAATTCAACACTAATCTGCTATAAGTGTGGAGCTGGGTATGTGGAACATTTGCAGGGAAGTTTGTTTCTCCGCTTGTTTTTCCAGGGGTATTCGAGATGACATTGAAGAGGAAGATGACCAAGTGAGTTCCTATGCAGTATTTCTATCTTTTATTTTTACCTCACAAAGTCTGTACTGGGGACAAGCTAGAGCTTGCTTTCACTGAAGTGGCCATTCCTGACATTGAGCAGGGGATGTCGTTTGACTTGCTCCTTTTCTACATGTGTGACCAGTTGGTAATATAAAGATTCACATGGCTTTCCTCCATGTTGAAGATGGAACTTTTGATCAACTGTGACATCAGAAACAAATAGGAGCTTTATTCAGCTTGATTTTTTTTTAATCCAATGTTTATTCTGATAAATCAAGAAGTAGGGTAGTGTGGGATCTACAGGTGGCCTCTAGCAACATCTAACCACTACCTCTTTCTAGGGGTTCTGTTTGTGATTCTTGTATTTCAAGATGGAACACTAATGACTGTCCTTTAGTATTTTTTTCCCATTGTTCAGTTGTGGGATGGTGAGAAGGGAACCAGAATGAGCAGTAGCACTTTCTAGGTTTGTGACCCTTGTAATCAGTGTCACCTTCCAAACTTGGATTGGTAAAGCCACAGCATGTGTTCCACAGCTCTGGGCAGGGTAGGTAGACACCCCACCCCAGGAAGGCTGTGGAATTTATAGATTTGTAAGTCTTTTGTTAAAGAAGTTAAATTATTTTGTAGTACTAACTATCTCACTCATTTCTTCCGATTGTCCCTTTGAGTACTGCTATTGTTAAAGGAATCGTTGCTAGTAAAAGTGTTGCCTTACTTGGTAGGTATTTAAACTGCAGTTATCTGACACACTGTGCAATAATTACAGGTGCAGAAACTGGTCTCAGTTGTACTTGGGGATGATTATGTTCTTGTGCTTTCCTGCAGGAAGCTTATTTTCGGTACATGGCAGAGAACCCAACTGCTGGTGTGGTTCAAGAGGAGGAGGAAGATAATTTGGAATATGATAGTGACGGAAATCCAATCGCACCTTCCAAAAAAATCATCGACCCTCTTCCTCCCATTGATCACTCAGAGGTATGGTGTTTCTTGCTGAATTTGATTCTTGTTTCAAGCTGATAAAGTTCTCTTCAGCTTTAATATTTAGGTGTTCTTAGTATCTGAGTACTCCTGACTTATATTGCTTATGTTATGAGAATATTTGTTCTTTGGGATCTTGTCAGCTCTGCTAAATGGTTGAGATAGAAAGTAACCGAGTGGTTGGGGTTTTATTGCCTGTATTGTTCAAGGTACAGCTGACTCACTTGCTCACATTTGATTTTAGGTGAAGAATTTTTTTTCAAGAAATCGTACTTGTTTTCCAGACCATCACTTACCATCTTCCTTTCAAAATGGGCCCTTAGGCTTGCTTTTTTTTTTTTTTTAAATTGCTGTAAATCTTATTTCTCCCAGGTCTGGGGCAGACGAGAGGCTGTTTCTTCAAAGGGTAACCAGGAATTATAGGTTCCTTGAATCAGGAAAAACAAATGAGGATATCAGTACACCCACTTGAAAACAAATCAGTGTTTCATCCAGGTTAAATAATCAGACTAGATCTTGTATACTCTAGTGATTCTAGATCTAGGCAGTGGTCTACAAGGTGTGGTCCAAAGACTCCTGGAAGGATCTTTTCAGAGATTCTGTGAAGTCAAAAGAATTTTCATAACAATGCTAAGATAATTTGCCTTTTTTTTTTTTTTAACTACGTCAGCGTTTGCATCAATGGCTAAAAGCAATGGTAGGTAAAATTGCTGACACCTTAGTGTGAATCAAGACAGTGCTGCCAACTATTTTGATAGTCATTATATTCTTCCCTGCCAGACCATCACAGTTTAAAAAAAAAAAGAAAGAAAAAGCCAGCTTCACTTAAGAATATCCTTGATGAGACAGTAAAAATTATTTATTAAATCTTGACCCTTATGTTACATGTCTTTTTATTTGGTGTGACAAAACACTGAGCTATTTGAGCTGTGAGTTGAACTAGCTGCTTTTTTCATGGGGCATCATTTTCACTTGAGAAAATGAGTGACACTTCAAGGAAAACAATTTAAAGTGTTATTGCCAAGGATAGAAATTTAACCTTTCAAACAAAAATTGAATTTGAGAAACTTACATTCACCAAAGTGAGCTTGACAGTTTTCTGATACTTAAAGTCTGTTGTAGTGAAATTGACGGTAATAAACAACTGATTTTTTTTCTATATTACATAATGAAATTTCACCATTTGAATGATCTGCATACTATTTCAGTGAACCAGAATTTTCAAATGGCCAGTGCTTGGTGTTACAGAATTATGCATGGTTAAAGGCTCCATTCAAAATCTGAGACACCCGTGGGTTATAATGGAATGAAATGTGAAAAGTTCATGATATGGTTTCAGATTTAAACAATGAAAATAACCTTTAAGAAATAACTGCTTGCCAAGTTTTTGGTAGTAGTAGAAGAGTTAAAATCCACAAGAATCTGAAAAGGCTATTAATAACTACTCAACTACTCTTCTTTTCCAACCACATATCTTTGTGAGGCCAGATTTTTTTTTATGGGTTTCAGTCAAAGCAGCATATCACAACAATTTGCATGCAGTAGGAACCATTTTCTTTTTTTCTTTTTTCTTTTTTTTAAATTTTTTATTGGGTAACAGTGTAGCAACTATTTTGTCAGACATTAAAGAGATTTGTAAAAATGTAAATGTTATAAAGTAACATTTTTATTAAAGCATTTATGTTAAAGTAATGAGTTTATTATTTTTAAATGAATAAATTTTAAAATCTTTTCTGTTTTTTTAATAGCAAAAATGTCAATAGATATTATCCACATAAATGAAATCTCATGTTTTTGTTAAGTGTAAAGGGTACCTGAGACTGAAAAGTTTGAGAACTATTGGTCTAGACTAGAGTATGGGATATATTCAATTTTTTAAATGTTTCCTTTTGCACAGATGCTACCACATAATGCCTTGGTATTTTACATGTGGCGAATGAAACTAAATATGTGAAACTGATCTAGGAGGAAGTAGCCATGATAAAGAGTGAAAATCCAATAAAAACACACACAAGTACTTTGAATAGTCATGTAATAAAATGTTTGAGATATTTGACAAAACACTCAAACTTCATCATCATTCTGGGGTATCCCACAGTTGTCCTAATGTAATGGGCAGTCTGTCAAGAGAGGCCAGAAGTAAGGGACAGATGGATACCCCTTCTGCCTATAAGTAGCTTTCTTCGCATTATTTTTTTATATATGCAGAAAGTTACATATTTGTAAGTAAAATTGTGAACAAAGACAAAAGTTCTTGCCCTCAGAGCTTCCATTCTGTGTCGGATGAGAGCTAAAGTAAATCCTGTTATGACTTAGTGCAGCCCTCTGGGGAGCATAACAGAGGTCCTGCTTATTAATAATGCTAAAGGCAAACTTAAAACTTCCTTACTTCCTGTTGATATTGCCATTGAAAGATAATTAATTTTAGGCTGTATCCAGAACTGCAAAATTTTTGACCACCTAGCAAAGGCTTAATTCTCCTTAAGAAACAAGTTTGGGGCTGGCCGAGTGGCACGTTGGTTAGGAGTTGGTTTGGGACCCCAGCTCTGAGCAGCAGGGCCCTGGTTCAGATTCCACATATGAGGGCCAGTGACGCTGCACCCTCTACAGCTAAGATGGTGAACAATAGCTCGACCTGGAGCTGGGCTGCCGTGAGTCGCCCTGAGCGGCTGTCCAATGGCCAGTGAGTGACTGCCTCACCCAGGAAGGGCATAATGATAATACTAACATGGGCCAGAGCCTCCACAACTAGACTGAAGAACAAAAGGACAGCA